AACGAAGGAAAAAAGAGCACGATGCAAATGGAAATCTCTTTTTTTGTTTTTATAAAAACAGTCATTTGATACTTGCTGCACTAGGAATGTGTTCAATATTACTTCACATCAGGAAATGCTAAATATTTGAGAAATGAAAAGAAAAATTGGAGCATTTTGGCTTTGTAAAAGCAGATTTTTTTGCTGTAATTTGAAAGTGGATTGTTTGTTACAGCATAACCTGTAGTTAAGAAAAGGAAAGATGGATTTTTGTTTGTTCAAGAAGAATATGGCAAGACCAGCACCTATTAGCAGATTGTTCCTGAAAAGTGGGGATGAACAATATCTTGAACTGCTGCTACCTGTGAGACGATAAACTACATCTTTTGTTTAGAATTGTCAGAAACAAGCATAATTGTTATGAATATAGACAGATTTTGTACACAGTTCTGAGGAAGGGTCCCTCGACTTGAAACATTAACTCTGATTTCTAACCACAGATGCTGCCAGACCTACTAAGCTTTTCCAGCAATTTCTGTTTTTGTTTCTGATTTTCAGCACCCACAGTTCTTTAAGGTTTTAGCAAAGTACCAGAATAGCCCAAGCTAAACATAGACATGCATGGGAATTCCATGGTTCTCAAACCATAATGCAATCAATAAACATATAGAACTGGACCCCATATACAAACCCATACAGAACAAACCCGGAAATGACACAACTCACCATAACAGACTGGACAGTATAAATTCCAAGCAGGGTAGAACAACATCACTTCATCGGAGGCCTCACTGATGATGTTACCTAGCATGGTGACAAAACGTCTGAATGAATACAAGCCAGCTCATGCGAGGAAGTCAACAACCTCACTTTTCAGTTTTTACCAAGCTTTTTGTAGCCTGGAGCAAACTGTATTCCATGATTATGTTGAGTGTTTTCATGTGCAGCTCCTGCTCAGTTTCTTAAAAAGGTTGCTTTTAAATTTTTGGTTGCATCTTAGTCCCACACTCCTTAACTATGGGTACACCATGTTGGGTGGTGGGGGACCTGGCTATTGGGCATCACTGGGACTGTGTAACATTATGGAAAATGACATTATGGAAAATGATATCTTAATTTGATTTTGATACATTTCTGCTCCAGTTCTGTAAGTTTGTGCTGACCCATTGATTTGTTTGCAGTACAGTATCCCACCAGGGGCTGTCTAATCTGATTAATCTTGAGAGTAGACATGTAGTGCTCCAGGCTGTAGAGTGGGCCTGGTTGACTTCAGGAGCAATAAATCCCTACCCGCTCCAATAGGAAAACTCTTTTGGATCAAGTTGCAATCAGGTGATCCCAAGTTCCCTGTCCAATCAGGAACCTCACTGCTGCAGTCTCCCCCTGCATGAAGCTCTCAGTGAACCAGAGGCCAGCAGCCTTAAGGATATGGAGAGAGTCAGTTTGGGTTTGAGGGGGAGTTAGCTGTTCAGCCATGAGGGGCTTCATTGGTGAGCCGGTGGTATTTCAGGAGGCACTGCCGTGTGGGGATCGGGGATGGGATGGTCAGGAGACAAAACAGCCAGGTCCTGCCCTCCATCTCTGCCCCAGATTGGGAAAAATCCACTCCTGCTACCTGCAGGCAGTTTGCCCTAGTTTCCATGTACATTTCCTGTCTGACAGGAAGGCAGGTGATTGGGCCAGGGGCAAGGTGAGTTCCTTCAGTGCCTATTAATTGACCACTTAAGGGTTTCAATTGATGTTGGTTGGTGGCACAGTGGCTCAGTGGTTAGCACTGCTGCCTCCCAGCACCAGGGACCTGGGTTTGATTCCACCATTGGGCAACTGTCTGAGTGGAGTTTGCACATTCTCCCTGTGTCTGCGTGGGTTTCCTCCCACAGTCCAAAGATGTGCAGGTTAGGGTGGATCGGCCATGCTAAATTGCCCATAGTGTTCAGGGATGTGTAGATTAGGTGGGTTATAGGGGGATGGGACTGTGTGGGATGCTGTGAGGGTCAGCATGGACTTGTTGGGCTGCAGGGCCTGTTTCCACACTGTAGGGATTCTATGATTTCCCAAGAAAGTCACCATGAGCTTTCTCATGCAGAATTTAATTGCTGAGATTGTGGGAAGGGAGTGAGTTTCTCTCTGGGACTGACCTGCCCTTCTTACCACCTTTGGAGGGGGAAATCACTGATCACTGAATCGCAGAGGTGTTACCATGCTGTTAGAAGCCATTCAGGCCATCATGCGTGCACCAGCACCAGCTATTTGATGTGGCTTTTGTTAATTCCTAGTTTCCCAGTCAGTTGAAACAATAAAAATTGAATGACGTTCTTGTGATTGCTCTGTATAGTTCTGATACCTTGGAGTGTACAGTTTAAAGTTTAATAGGTACAAATCAAGTTAACTGTTATGTATTAAGTGATCTCCAGCACCGTGTTACTGACAGGGAGGGGGTGGTGGCATGGTCTTCTTTTCCCACCTCCTGACTGATATATAGAACATAGAACATAGAACATTACAGCGCAGTACAGGCCCTTCGGCCCTTGATGTTGCGCCGACCTGTGAAACCAATCTGAAGCCCATCTAACCTAAACTACTCCATTATCATCCATATGTTTATCCAATGACCACTTAAATGCCCTTAAAGTGGGCGAGTCTACTATTTTTGCAGGCAGGGCATTCCACACCCTTACTACTCTCGAATAGATATGTCTTCAAAGAAGAAGTATTTTAACTCTTTGTGTTTTGTGACTTTCAAGAGCAGACAAAAATCAGGTTTCCTTGTTATTTCAGAAAATGGAAGAATAAATGTTGTGGTTTCGACTGCACACTGCATTCACCATAGCACGCAGTCACTCATACACATGGCCACACGTGCACAAGGAAAGGCGATTTTAAATAGGGGTAGCATGCACTTAATTTTACTTAAAATCCAAATAACTGTATTCACTTGTTATGCTTGAGACTTTTGAGATGGAAGCTTGACATTTTGTGGGTGTGACAATTTCCTTTGGGGGATGTGGAGATTGATGTCTTCACCACAAACTTCCACAGTGACATCCCACTGGCAACAGCTGGCTCTGGCTTTGCTCTAGTTCAGGTACAACCAAGCCACCGTAGCAAAGTCCTGACTTGGTTCTTCACATCAGTAGGTAAATGCCTAGCCCCACTTCTCTTCTACGAGTTAATTTGAGACAGGATCCTTTCTTTACTGGGCTGGATCTGTTGCCTTTGAGTCTCTCTGCCTCTCAGGTTGACTGACTGACCAGCCAGCATTTAAAAAAACGTGTGTGAATAGATGTCCCTTATCAAAAGCTGGTTTCTTCAGGAGACTGTGGTATCTATTTTTCCATTGTCCACACAAATGACCCTTGATCACCTCAATATCATAAAGTTTGAGATTCAGCAATTGACAACTCCTTGTGAATGAATCGGTTTTTCCTTACCACCATTCCGAGAAATTCGATTCTGCAGACAAGTAGCTTTGAGGGCACTGCACCTCATGTTTCTGCAGATATTTGGGTAACTCCAGTTATTAAATCCATATTTTCATCTTTAAAATCTTAACAATGCAAATTTAAAGTTCACTTACTTGCACACAAAGATGGTGATCCTGCAGAGGGTGATTCCAAGAGAAAATGGGACTGCCTTGTATTTTGGGCAAGTTTTCTAGCCTTCTCTCCATTTGGATGCCCCAAAACCACCTCTGTTCCAACACAAGTGTCCAACAATATTCATGCATCTGCCAACTGTATGCAGATCTTTCAAAAGGAACTCCCAGGTTCACAATCCTGTCCCTATCACCAATTCTTGATCACCACAGGACTTGGCAAATACAATCTGGTAGAAACCTGAGCATGACTTTGTTTATCATAGGGACTTTAAGTTGGTGATCATACTTGGACGAGGTATCAACCCATGATGACTGTGTCATTGTAACCTCCTTTCATCTATGTAGCTGGTCTTCTTTCACACATTCTGCCATTAAGGACTTTTTGAACACACTTTGTCTGGGACCACTCTCCCATCGCCTTGTCACCATGGGTGGCCCTACAAGGAGCAAAGAGCTCCCAATGACATCATTCAAGGATTCATCAGAACTCACAAGCCTCTCCACCATGCCAAGATGGCGACTCATTGAACAAGAGGGCAAGATTATAGAGTCAGTTATAGACGAAGACAAACGTCATATATTTGAGACAGTGGGGAATTGGGATTGAATTCCATCCCATGATTAATAAAACCTAAGATTGTACTCCTTAGAATTCAGAAGGTTAAAGGGTGATTGGACTGATGTTTTCACGATTATAAGATCAATGGAGAGAAACTAAATCTGCCGACGAGAGAATCTAAGACTAGGAACATAGTTTAAAATTAAAACCAGACCTTTCAGGAGTAAAGTTTAGAAGTCTCATTTACTCGCAGCAGTTGATCCTGGACCAATTGTTAAATGATAAATTTCTGTCAGCCAAAAGTATCAAGGAATATGAAGCAAAGGCCCCTTTGGAGTTATGTCACAGTTTAGCAATGATCTAGTTGAGTCGTTTTACAAGCTAAAGAGGTTAGATGTTTCACAATTGTTCTTACATTCAGTGTAGGATTTGCTGCAAGGTGGACTATGAACTTTTAAACTGGAATTTTGGATAAGTTGTAGCTTGCTGGAAGAGGGCATTTGGGAGGCGAACTAGAAGACTAGTGGAGTAATTGAGCCTTGACATGACAAAGGTATAAACAGCAATAGATTGGCAGAAGTAGGAGGGTCGATGTGATAACGATGGAAGCTGATGGTCTTGTCACTGAGAGGATTGGAGAATGGAAATGGTATCCATTGATTATGATGTTCTGACTGACCTGTCTTCTTTGTGCAACTTCTTTCAGGTAGAGAATTTCTGCCCTTAGTTAAGGGGAAAGCCCAGCAAGAAATTTTGACCTTCAAGTCTTGTGGGACAATGGAAACACCACAGACAGTGCTGAACATGTAAGTGTTTGCTCTGCGCCTCAAGAAAATCTGCAAAATGCTTTTTTAGCAAAAAGCAATGGATGACAACGATGTCAAGGCTCCTTGTTTGTCATTATTTGTGGGTAACTTAAATCCAGATTACTCAAAGGAGCTGCTGAGTTACATGCTGAAGGATTTACTTGCTGCAATCAACATTGTCCTGCAAAGACATGACATTGAAGTCTTCAAGAAGCACAAACGAGCCCATGCATTTATCCACCTGAAGACAGAGAATGGAGTTCAAAATATCTTGAAACAACTTCAAGATCCTGCCATTTTGGATCAAAACCATATGAAAGGATTGGTAGTTAAAGGGAAAACATTAAAGGTTGCAAGGGATATCCGTGACTTTTCAGATTACACTTTTGATAAGGTAAAGGAAATTTCATTATCCATTTGGATTCATATTCATTTAACTCCTCCCATGTTCATTAGTAGGCATCAGAAAGGTGAAAAACTTAATTGATTTGGAATGGGAATTTGTTGTCAAAGGATTCGGGGGGGGCCAGGTGGCTAGTGTTTACAATACTGTCCAAGAAAGAGGAAAGGAAAGCATGTCAGGAAATAATAAACCATTCTGCTTTTCCCCACTGTTGCATAAATGTTTTATCCTGACTTGACATCATTGCTGAACTATTGGTGATTCATTTATTCTATGAACTGCCCATATCTCAATTACTACAATCACTTGAAGAATCTCAGTTTGGAATCCAGGAATACAGGATGACGTTAGTTCAGGAAAAACTTTAGAAAGCATTTTTTCACATCAAGTGTGGGAAAACAGTAGATACTGAATGATTAACTTTAAATTAGAAATTGATAGGTCAGACAGAACCAGCACAGATTACTAAAGAGCGCTTGTTTAATTCGTTGTTCTAAGGAAGCTACGGTGTGTATAAATAGCATGGATGTAACTTTAATGAAATCCTACATCATATTGGTATATTTTATTGTCATCAAACCTAAGCACTTACAAAAATATCATAATTTAATCAGTTTTGTAACATGAAACCCAGTTTATTGTTTCGTAATAAAATAAAATCTGACATATAACTTCTGTTGATTTTTTGCAGAATTAACTGGGCGTATCAAATTTTGGTGTGAGCTTTAAATAACACACACATTCTGACTGTAGACTGTATAAGTAACTCAAGCTTACAGAGCCACGTTGTGGCAAATGCATTTCCTATATCTAATACAAGGTTATTCACATTGGACGGTACCGTTCTGTTGTACAGATTTTATCTCTGCTGTACTGTAAAAAGTCTCATTGCACATATAAATGCGAAGGGCAGTGATTTAACAAAGTTTGTATTATTTTTAACTTGTTATTGGGATGTGATTGTAGCTGGAAAAGACAGCATTTGATTTCAATTTCTAATTGCCCTTGAGAGCAGTTAAGAGTCAGCCACCTTGCTGTATGTAGATCTAGGGTACATATGGACTAAACGATCAGGACAACAGATTTCTTTCCCAAAAGAGGATTTGTCAAGCTGTTGGACTAGTAATGTCACTGGACCAGTAACCTAGAGATCCAGAGACCCAGTCCAATGTTCTGGGGTGCATCAGAATCCCACAATGACAGATGCTGGAATTTGGTTTCAATGAAAAAAATCTGGGATTAAAAACTTGACTAATGGCAACCATGTAACTAATGATTATTGTCATTACTCACCTGATTCACTAATGTCCTTCAGGGAAGGAAATCTGCTGTTCTTACCTGGTCTGGCCTACATGTGACTCCAGATGCACAACAACATGGTTGATACTTAATGGCTCTAGCGAGACATTCAGTTTAAGACTAATTAAGGATGGGCAACAAAGCTGCCCCAGCCAGCTACACATCCATCGCAAGAACGAATAAATAAATGCTTTTTGTGACCATCAATGGTAGATTCATGGTTAACATTACTGAGGCTGCCTTAAATTCCAGATTATTTTTCATTTGTTGAATTGAGCCACCAATTGTGTTGGTGGGATTTAAAACCACTGGCTCTGGAGTGTTAGATTAATTGAAATTGCCACAATGTCACCAGCTCCTAGGTTCAGTTGAAAAGAGTGACAAAACTGGCTATGACCTATCTCAAACAATCATTTCACACTTGCTAGAGAACAAAACCATTGCGGGTTTGGTGGAAAAGGACAGAGCAAATTGGCTGCTCACTCCTTAGGAAATGAGCTCAATGTACAATTGATGCAGGCAGGCATGGGTATGCCTTCTTTACCACCTTATCTATTTGTGTTGCCACTTTCAGGGCGCTGTGAACTGGCACTCCATAATCCCTCTGTATATCAATGCTTCGAAGGGTCCTGCTATTTGCTGTATACTTTCCTCTTGCATTTGATCTCCCAAAATGCATCACCTCACCCTTGTCCAGGTTAAACTTCATCTGCCATTTCTCTGCCCACCTTTCCAACTGATCTATATCCTGCTGTATCCTTTGGCAACCTTCCTCACTATCCACAACTCCACCAATTTTTGTGCCATCTGAAAACTTACTAATCACACCACCTATATTTTCTCTAAAGCATTTATATATATATCACAAACAACAGAAGTCCAGAGCACTGATCTGTGTGGAAAATCACTGGTTACAGACCTCCTGTCAGGAAAACATCCCTCCACAACTACCCTCTGTCTCCTATGACCAAGCCAATTTTGTATTCAACTTGCCAACTCAATGTGGATCACATGTGCCTTAATCTTCTGGACCAGCCTCCCATGAGGGACCTTGTCAAATGCTTTAGTAAAGTCCGTGTTGATAATATCCACTGCCTTACTCTCATCAATCATCTTCCTCAAAAAACTTAATAAAGTTTGTGAGACAACTCCTTCCACGCGCAAAGCCATGCTGACTATTAAGTCATTCTTTTCCAAATACAAGTAAATCCTGTAAATCCTGAAAAAATCATTGTGGCTAACTGGCCACAATTTCCTGGATTATCCCCGTTGCCCTTCTGAAACAAAGGAACAACATTGGCTATTCTCCTGTGACCTTGCCTGTGGCTAAAGAAGACACAAAAATCTCTGTCGAAAACCCAGCAATCTCTTCCCTTACCTCTCTTGGTATTCTGGGATAGATCCCATCAGGCCTGGGGACTTATCTACCTTAATATCTTTCAAGACACCCAACACCTCTACCTCTTTAATATTACATGCCTTAGAGTATAAACCTTCCGCTCCTTTATCTTCCCATCATCCATATCCTTTCCCTTGGTGAATAACAATGTGAAAAACTCATTAAGGACCTTACCCATCACTCTGGTTCCATGCATAAACTCCCTCCTTTGTCCTTGAGTGGACCTACCCTTTCTCTCGCTACACTCTTGCTCCTAATTTGCATATAAAATGCCTTGGAATCCTCCTTTAATCTTAATTACCAAGGACATTTTATGGCCCCTTTTAGTCCTCCTGATTCCTTGTTTGTGTTCTTTCTTGTTCCATTATATTCCTCAAGTGCCTTGTTTGATTTTGGTTTCATAAATGTTATGTATGCTTTCTTTTCCTTTTTGACTAAACCTTCGAAATCTCTTGTCATCCAGGGTTCTTGAATCTTGCCATCCTTATCTTTCAGACTGATAGGAATATGCTGATCCTAAACTCTGATCAACTCCCTTTAAAAGACTCCTTTCTGAAGAAGAGTCCAGACCCGAAACGTCAGCTTTCCTGCTCCTCTGATGCTGCCTGGCCTGATGTGTTCATCCAGCTCTACACCTTGTTATCCCATATGTCAGATGTGGATTTAGCGTCAAACTGCTGCCCCAATCTAATTTTTCCAGTTCTTGTTTAATACTGTTGTAAATAGCCTTCCCAAAATTTAACATTTACACCCAAGGATTAGTCTTAAACTTATCCATAACTATCTTAAAACTTATGGAATTATGATCACTGTTACCAAAATACTCCCCACTGAAACTTTGATTACGTGGCCAGGCTCATTCGCCAATTAAAGGTCTAGCGTAGTCCTTACCCCAGTTAGACTACCTTTATATTGTTTCAAGAAACCCTCCTGACTATACCTAACAAATTCTGCCCCATCTCAGCCCCTGGCACTAAGGGAATCCCAGTCAATATTGGGGAAATTAAAATCACCCACTAAAAACAACCCTGTTATTTTTACATCTTTCCATGACCTGCTTACATATTTGTTCTTCTATCTCCCACTGACTATTGGGAGGCCTACAGTATAACCCCATGATAGTGAATGCACCTTTCTTATTCCTAAGTTCTACCCACATGGCCTTGTTGAATGAGCCTCCAAGATGTCCTCTCCAAGTACAGTTGTGACATTCCCCTTACTCAGTAAAGGAACTGCCCCAGCCATTTTAATCCTTCTCTATCATACCTGAAACATCTAAACCCTAGAAAGTCAAACTGCCAATCCTGCCCTTCTCTCAACATTATAGCTCCATGTACAAATCCAGGCTCTAAACTCATCTGCCTTGCATTAAAATAACTACACTTCAAAGTGCTGTGCTCATTCACCTGGTCGTGCTCGTTCTTCCTATTAGACTTACTTGATTTAATCTCCACCTTATCCTCAATCACTCCACATGCAGACCTACTGCTCTGGTTTCCGCCCCCTTGCCAGACTTGTTCAAACCTTCCTATTATATGATGAAGTTTTCAATTCACATCTTCCATCCATGGTCCATCCTGATTGAATCCTATCCAATTTTATCATACAATTGTGACATCCATCAATCCTACCTTAGGTTGGTATCCAAAACGTAAACAACACGACCTGTGGCAATATTGATATTGTATGGAATTAGAAAATTACATTTCTATTCCGGTGTCCCTGATTACCATAAGACCATAAGACATAAGTATAGATTTAGGCCATTCAGCCCATCAAGCCTATTCTGCCATTCAATGAGATCATGGCTGATCTGATAATCCTCAACATCTTTTTCCACATAACCCTTGATTCCCTTCTTGATTAAAAGTCTATCTCAGCCTTGAATATATTTAATGATCCAAAGTGAACAGCCCTCTGTAGTAAAGAATTCCACAGTTATACCACCCTCTGAGAGAAGAAATTCCTTCTCATCATAGTCTTAAATGTGTGACTCCTTATTCTAAGATGACTCCCTGTGGTCCTAAATTCTGCTACAAGGGAAACAGTCTCTCTGCATCTACCCTGTCAATCCCCTAAGAATCTTGCATGTTTCAATAAGGTCACCTCTCATTCTTCAATATTCAAATGAATAGTGGTCTAGCCGTCACAACATCTCCTCATAAGATAGGCAACAGCAATGCCTTTTATATTTCAGTTTATTTTTCCTAGCTTTATGTGCCCAAGCTATGGAAGAAATTTATCCTGAACGTTTACATTTATGTTTAAAGAGCATTTGAGAACCATTAAAGAAAATTACAATTTTATCATACAAATGCGACATCCATCAATCCCACCTTAGGTTGGTATCCAAAACATAAACAACACAACCTGTAGCAATATTGGTCTTGTACTTACCTTTGTATTTTGATTATTCCCAGAACAATTCTCCAGATACGTCAAAATATGAATCCCACAGTCAAGGACAAAAGGACAAGAGGAGACTGGAACAAACACATGACACATTGGGATACACCACAGGGAAATCCAGCTACCTTGCAAACAAAGTTATGGATCATTTATCAACTCCTCTGAGTGGTACCAAGTCAGACAGCGCCATCATCGGTGGGGAGATTGCTGGGCAGGAGCGCTTATTTTACGGGGCACTGATGGGGAGTGAGACAAGGAATGTTGAATTCAAGCGAGGAGGAGGAGAATACCTGAATGTGGCTCTGAAGAACCATGTTAGGAAATACGTCTGTGCATTTCTGAACAGTGAAGGAGGCAGTCTGTTTGTAGGTGTGAACGATGATGGCACTGTTTGTGGTGTCGAATGTAATCACAAAGATGAAGATCGGGTTAGACTTCTGATAGATTCAATTGTGAAAGGGTTTAAACCACCACTCTTCCCCAATTCCTACTCTATCACCTTCCTTCCAGTCATCAAGGATGGGGACACCGGGATGTTTCTGAAAGTTATGAGGTTAACTGTGCATCCACCCAAGAAGGATGGTGATGTGTTACTGTATGAGACTGACCAGGGTGAAGTGTACATTCGTCGAGATGGTAGCATCCAAGGTCCACTATCAGGAAGTTCCATTCAGGAATGGTGCAGACAGGTAATGCACAAGCTTCGGTGAATTATTACAGGAGTATTTCACCTTCATTCTACAGATCTACATTGGGTTTAGCCATATAAATTGCTTTTAAGAAAAGTTCTTATTCCACTTAATAATATTCTGAGTTGAGAATGGGTGATGTTTTGAAAAGTCTCCCAAACTATCATAGTCGGACTGAGAAGGGTGGTGACTTGCGTGAGACAGAACCTTTGTTCCCAGTTTTGCTTCCTTTCTGTTTATTCATGCACAAGTTACACCTGAGTTTGGAATTCCTAGATTTTCCATAACTTGGCATTGTCCTTTTTCCCAAGTTATATTTATTTTTACTACTTTGTACCATTTAATATTCACTTGTCCTACTCTCAGTGTATCTTAAGTATACTTTCACCTTGCTTTATCTTCTCCCCATTTATTTTGAGTCAGTATCTTAAGTCTGAGATCTGACTGTTTCTCAATTTCCTGCTGACTATTGGGGATCCATAGCACAATCCCAATAAGGTGATCATCCCTTTCTTTTTTCTCATTTCAACCCAAATAACTTCCCTGGACATATTCCCAGGAATGTCCTCCCTAAGTAGAGCCATAATGTTATCCCTAATCAAAAACTCAACTCCCCCTTCTCTCTTGCCCCCCTTTCTACTCTTCTATAGCATCTATACCCTGGAACATTATTCTGCCAGTCCTGTTCCTCTCTGAGCCATGTCTCTGTAATAGCTATGATATCCCAGTCTAATATTCCCAACCATGCGCTGAATTCATCTGCCTTACCTGTTAGGCCTCTTGCATTGAAATAAATGCAGTTTAATTTATCAGTCCTACGTCATTCTCTGCTTTGTTCCTGCCTGCCCTGACTGTTTGATTTTGTCATAGGGTAAATAGACAAGATCTTTTCCCCAGTGTGGCGGAGTCCAAAACTAGAGGGCATAGGCTTAAGGTGAGAGGGAAAAAATTTAAAAGGCCCCTAAGGGGTAACTTTTTCACACAGAGGGTGCTGCTTGTATGGAAGGAGCTGCCTGAGGAAATGGTGGAGGCTGGTACAATTACAACACTTAAAAGGCACTTGGATGGGTATGTGAATGGGAAGGGCTTAGAAGGATATGGGCCAAATGCTGGCAAATGGGACTAGATTTATTTCGGTCGGCATGGACGATTTGGACCGAAGGGTCTATTTCCGTGCTGTACATCTCTATGACGCCAAATCATATACTTAGGCTTCTTTAATAGATACTTGAAAATGACATTAAATCAAGGCCATGTCCTATTGTCTCAGGAAATGTGAAAGATTGCACTGCCACTATTTGAAGAATAGGGGAGCTTTGCCTCTTTAGCATTTATTTTGCAACACAGCTAGAGTCAGAAAAGACATGGGATTGTACATGCCAAGGGATGGTCACCCCACAGTGAGAGGTCAGGATCGTAAATGGATGGCTGTTTGGAAGAGAACACGTGGCAAGCACATTCACCCAAGATAACAGGACATGGCCCTGATTTAATGTCATCTTCACTTCTCTATAAAAGAAGTCTAAGTACACAACTTCAGTTAATGACTGATAAATGAATGTGCTGGGGAGAAGATAAAGCAAGGAGAAAGTATACTTAAGATGCATTGACGGTAGGATAACTGAAGGATATCAAAGAGGACAAAGTAATGAAAATACATAAGAAACTGAAAGAACTGTGGATACTGGAAATCAGAAACAAAAACAGGCATTTTTGGAAATCTCACCAGGTCTGGTGAGAATTTTCAGAATGGTTCTGAGGAAGAGTCACTGGACCTGAAACATTAACTCTGATTTCTCTCCACAGATGCTGCCAGACCTGCTGAGATTTTCCAACAATTTTTTTTTAAGTAAAAATACATCTGACTTGGGAAGAGGCAAAATACCAAGTTATGGAAAATCTAGGAATTCCAAACTCAGGTGTAACTTGTGCATGAATAAACTGATAAGAAGCAAAAGTGGAAATGAAGGTTCTGTCTCACCCAAGTCACCATGCTTTCATTGTCAGGTTGTGATTGTTTGGGAGACCTTTCAAAACATCACCCATCACCACTTTCTAACCAGTACTCGGCTTTCAAACAACTGAGAGTGATGACACTTTGAGACAGTGCAGTCCAGACAATGGCACTAGTGGGCAAGGGACTGCATAAGGGAATCAGCGAAGATTAGAACCATGGTCGTCACAGGAGATTCCATAGTTACTGCTCGCACAGGTGTTTATGTAGTTGCCACGGTGTGTCACAGTATCATAGAATCTTACAGTACAGAGGAGGCCCTTTGGCCCATCAAGTCTTGTCTTGACGCCAGTATAAAGGACATTACGGATGGACAATATTCTGTAGAGTGATGCACATCAGTACCTTGGACAAGGTGAGGACAGGCATTGAAGTCCTGTTGTCTGATTTTCAGAAACTGGGGTCAAGTTAAACAGTAGGACCTCAACGCTAGTAATCTCTGGATTACTCCCAGTGCCAGGAAACCCTGAGAGTAGAAGTAGGAGCATAGTGAGAATGAAGAGGTGGCATGAGGCATGGTGCAAGATGAAGGGTTTCAGCTTCAAGGGACATTGAGATTGGTTCTGAGGCAGGAAGCACCTATTTAAAAGGAATGGGTTGCACTGCTGTAGCACTGGGATAACTGTGCAAGGTTCACTCATATGATTGGGGAGGGTTTAAACCAAATTGGCAGGGTGGAAAACCAACATATAATAGCAGAAAACAGGAATAACATTCATAAAGGAACGGGGAGTGTTGGATAATACCAGGGGAGGAAGTAGTATCATATTAGTAGGAGGAGGTCAGTGAGCTACAGACACAGAGGCATATGGGGATATGGTGAAGTGGCAGTACTGGAATACATGGCAAAACATGGCTTAATAATGATGATGACTGGTATCTAACAGTCAAGGATACAATGTTCATAAATGGTTGGGCAGGAGCAAAAAGTAGAGGATGTAATGTGTTGGGAAGGTGTTGTAGTGTTGGAAACAGAGTTTGACCTGACAGAGACAAAAGATGGAATTCATTTGATTGGAGTTAAGGAGTAAAAAGAGAATGATGATGTAGCTTAGGGTATCCTAATTGTTTCTAAAAGATAGAGAGAGAGAAAATGTGCAGGGAAATCAGGAATGTGTAACAATTATAGACTGTTGAAATTGCGGTGATTTCAATACCCAAATATCGATGGGGATAATGTTGAAGTGCAAGGAGCGAATTGCAGAACCATGTTCAGGAACCTTCAATGGCACAACTTGCCTTGTAGGGGAGCATTTGGGTAAGAGTGATCATTGTATAACGATGTTTAGGGTAGCAATAGAGAAGAGTAAGCAACTATCTAAAGTAGCACACTTAAATTGGAAGGTGAACTTTGATGGATTGAGAGGTAATCTAACAAGGGTGTTAAAAATAGGGAAGCAAAGGCCAACAGGAAAGAACTGTAACGTCAGATGGATAACTTTTGAGAAAATGACAGTTCAGTTGCAGTTTATGTACATTCCACCAATGGAAAAAACAGCAGGACCAAAAACAGGGTTCATTGGATGACAAAGAAGCTATTATGATGATTTTTTTTTTAAAAAGGCAGAAGGTGGGTCTGTAAGATCCATGTCAGGTGAATTCTTCATTTGAGAACCAGACCAAATGAAATCAATTAAGAGGGGAAGTGAAGAGGAATATATTACTAAGCAAGAGAAAATGTGAGAAAAGAGTGACAGTTAACATAAAGTTGAAGCCGAAAATCTTCTAGCACCATGTAAATAGGTTGAGTGGAATCTCCTGGGGCTGAAAGGAAGAAAAATGCCAGCACAGAGCAAAACTGAAATACTTAATGAGTGCTTTATATTGGTGTTCACAAAGGTCTAGATTTTCTAGTCTTCAGAAAATTGGAAACCGGACCAAATGATATTGAAATCTCCCAGATATCCCAACAAACAGACTCTGTGGGGCTTGCTTGTGAACTTTGAACAACCAATAAGTAACTCTCCCGTGCTCTGGGACCATCTTCAATTCTGACATCTGAGCTGGTTACTTGACTAGTTACCCAGGAAATGTTGGGTAGAAAAAAAGTAGTCTGATATCTTGTTAACTAATATAATGACCAACCAGTTTTGGTCCCATTATTTAAGGAAAGATAGCATTTCACTGGAGGCAGTTCAGAGAAGGTTCTTGAGGATGATTCCTGGTATGGACGGATTATCCATACTAGGTTGGGATTCTACTCACTGGAGTTTAGAAGAATAAGCAATGATCTCATTGAAACATATGACATTGTTAAGATGTTTGACAGGGTAACTGCTGAGAGGATGTTTCCCCTCAGAGGGGAGTCTAGGACCAGAGGGTGTAGTCTCAGAATAAAGGTGCACCAATTTAAGACTGAATTGAGGAGGTATTTCTTCTCTCAGAGGGTTGAGAGTCTCTGGAACTCCTTTCCACAGAGAGCTGTGGAGTCAGTCTTTGTGTTTATTTAAGGCAGAGATAGCTTTTTGATCAGTTGGGAATCAAGGGTTATGGGAAGAGGGCATGGAAGTGGAAAAGAAGAATGTGGGAGCAGCCATGATCCTAATGAATGACGGAACAGGCTTGATGGGTCGAATGGCCTACTTCTGCTCCAATTTTTTATGGTCTTATGTAGAAGAGTTGTAATGGAGTCGAAAATTAACTTTATTTCTCTCTTCACAGATGTAGCCAGATCAGTTGAATTTCTCCAGCACTTTCTCGGTTTGTTTCAGATTTCCAGCTTCCACAGTATTTGCTTTTATTTTATTCTTCCAGTTTTCTTAGTTCAAAGCACTATCTTCTCCCATTTTTAGCTCACAGTCCAAAAGAAATGGTTTTTATAAGTGCTAATGCCACAACGCCGTCATCTCGTCTCCCCATACTGAAGAAGTTGTTTTCAATCCGAAATATTAACACTGTTTGTCTCTCCAAGTATGCTGCCAGAACCTGCTAAGTACTTCCAGAACTTTCATTTTATTTCAGATTTCCAATATTTTATTTCAATGAGTAGGGACAGCTTGATACCAAGGTCGCAGTTGAATTTACTTTGCTCTGAAGTGAATGAAAGCCCAGTTATGTTTGTGTGGGAGAACAGAATCGAGGGTTATATTGAGCTTTAGATGAGGGAGGAGGTGGGGAACCTCATGTGGCATGCACTTGATGGGCCAAGTGGCCTGTTTGTGTTTATTTTATGCCATTCCATTATCATTCTCATTTTGTTTGCTCCTAAGAAATGGACAGTGGAAATCAAGAAACTGCAAGACACAATCGACAGCTTAGTCAAACAGGAACACCGCTTGCAGGAGGAACTTCGTCAGCAGCAACAGTCAATCCTGGAACTGCAACAGTTGCAGCAAGAACTACAGGCAATGAATTCAGACAAGATCGCAGTGTCAAATCTGTGCTGCATTATTTAACCGCACGGGAGATCAGGCCAACCCACAGCACAGCCGCCAACCCAAACTGAAAATCTTACTACAGTCATCGGGGAAACAACCTTAAAACAAGCAACTCAGAAAAGACAGTTCAATAAAACCTCTGCCGCAGACCTGAAATTCTCAATAGGCCTCAAAGCATTAATGAGATGTTCCAGACTTTATTGTGAGTTGCATCCAGCTTTGTCATTATCGATCATGGAGATTGACAGTCCAAAGATGGTGTTTGAGACTTTGAATTCCCTCCTTTCCACTTCAATGCTGCAGCAACTGGCACAAGTATGGTTCAACTTGTTACACCTCAGTGGGTTTAGGTTTTTGCCCATGATGCTAATACTAAAAGCGAGTGTCCCAGCATGTTCGGGAGCAAAAGAAACCCTAGACAAGTTGAGAAGCATTCTGTAGTTTTCCAGCTCAATTCGTTGAATTTATAGCTTCTTCAACACAGTAAAACATCTCAAGATGGTTGTCATAAAATGCGACAGACGATGCAGATGTTATACAGAGGTGACCAAAAGCTTAGTCAATGAGGTTGATTTTCAGATTGACTCATGGAGAAGATGAAGAGGTTTAGGGAGCGAATTCCAAGCCTAAGTTCTAGAGGCGAAAGCACAGCAGCCAATGTTGCGGTAATGGGAACCAGTGATGTGAAAGGGGGCAGAGTTGGCAAAGAGCAAAGATCTTGTCACTGGGTGGGTCATAAAGTTTGGAGCAGTCATGGAAATATCAAATGTACGGATTGGGAATTTCCAAATTATGATGTTGACAGGATGGGATATAATACATGTGAGGAAGCACAAGGGTGAGCAGAGAATGGGATTTGATGGGAGTTTAGGCACAGCTGATGTTTTTAACAGTTAGAGGTGAGAAAGCAGGAGGAGGCCGGAAGCTTATTGGAAGAAAAGGGCGCTGCAAATCGAAGTGTTTTCATATATTTCTGCAAATAGATCTCTGTAAATAAAAGAAGAGCATTTGTGGTAATGATGCAGCAGCAGAGTAGACCAAAAGAAAATATTCTCAGTGCTCATTAAGATTATGATCAAAAAGCAACACTGACACTCTTTTTAAGATAATCATTCTGTGATGCAAAAATTCACTAACATATGTCATAAGGCATAGGTGGTTATGGGGATAGGACATGAAAGTGGAAAAGAAGAACGTGGGAGCAGCCATGATCCTAATGAATTACGCAACAGGCTTGAGGGGTCGAATGGCCTACTCCTGCTCCAATTTTTTTATGGTCTTATGTAGAAGAGTTGTAATGGAGTCCTGGTGGTGTATGTCATTGCAAGGTCCATATTTATTGTCTATTCCTAATTATTAAGTAGCAAAGCTACTGCCATGAACTGCTGCAGTGTGTGTAGTCTTGGTGCAACCACTGTACTGTTGCACTGTCCCAGGATATTTACCCAGCAACAAAGAACAGAGATAAGAGGGGTTTAGGAGCCTTGGTGAATTGCTGCATACATTCTGAAGGTTACTTTTTGTTTGTAAGGCTGGGGATGCAGTTACAATCAGATGTCAAGGCTAACAATCATAAATGGATTGCAGATAGGCTTTTTTAGTGCAGGGTTAGCATCCCTACCTCTGGCTTAGACTGGCCCCCGAGTTCAAGTCCCACCTGTTCCAGAGGTGTGTAATAACATCTCTGAACAGGCTGACCGAAAAATATCTGCATGAATTGAAGATGGATTAGATTGCAGTCTTGCTGGTAGAAACATTGAAGATTTAAAGTGCTGAATGAATGAGATACCAATCAAGTGGGTTGCTTTGTGTTGGTGGAGCTGCACTCATCCCAGGAGTTGGGGCAGTAATGCTATGAGAATTTTGCCAGTAGGGATGGTGGACAAGAGTAGTGGGAATTGACACAGAATTCCAGGCCTCTGATCTGCATTTGTAGCCACAGTATTCATTAAGCTAGTAGAGTTCAGTTTCAGCCAATGGTGACACTCCCCCCGCATTATAACAAGTTGATAGTGGAGAATTCAGCATCAAGTGAAGTTGGTTAAGACTCTCTCTAGATAGAGTTGGCCATTGCCTTGCACTTGTGCAGCAGAAATTTTACTTGTATAGCCAAATGTATTCTGGTCAGGTTCCTAAACATTATTGGAAAATAAGATTTGGTTTGTATCACAGTTGGGAGTGTGACATGCTCGAATATTCCTCTAGTGAGCTATATTGATTGTTCATGTGATAAAAAGACTATTCCATGGGCTCCAAACAGAACTTTTTATAACTCAAACTGTGCGTACGCACATATCTTCACTAAGAAATAGAAAATGTATAAGAAACCTTCTTTACTCAGACAGGTAGAATGTGACATTCACCAACACAGAGTATTTGAGATAAATAGGAGAGATACAGTTAAGGGGAACAATAGAAAAACACAAGGGAGGAAGGAAAGAAGCTATGTCGAGTTAGATAAGGAAAGATTGGAGGAGGTTTGACTGGAGCACAACCAAAACAGGGCCTGTTTATGTATTCCATGCTCTCTGTACTTCTGTGCGTTATTTGGAAGGTTGATTACTTATGGTATAACCAGTCAATGCTTTGAGTTAAAAACTGTGCTATAGATAGCGAAAAGGTACAAACCTGGTTAGCAGCAGGTCATAAAAGTCTGTTCCAAACCAATGACTACTTCAGAAAATGTCAGAGAAGATCAGGGTTTAAGCGTAGATGCTAATATGATCTGCACGCTGGACATATTAATAATCCAGGGTTTTGGAAATTGAAACTGACTAAAACTGCACCAATAAAAAAAGCTTTTTCTCAATCTGTAGGAGGAGTAGAATGACAAGTTGGTGCCACAAAACTGATCTGCAAACCCAACTTATAAAAATAATATCAACTGAAAAATGCTCTTGGAGATGAAAAAAAATCACATATTTCAAAACTGCATAATACTTCCATTCATCTTTATTGCAAGATTATATGAATCAAGAGTTTCTTTCCATGATGAATTATAAAAGCAGGCACAGTTTCATTTCAAGTTTGGTACAGCTTGGGGTTATGATAAATACCCACTTGCACTCCACAAAATTCACTCTCCAGCTATGGCTCTTCCCACTTGGTTAAAGTTTAATTAACCACGGAGCGAGGGGAAATACAAACCCTGTCCTGTTGCATGCTGTTAAATGGATATTTTGCATTGATAGGTTCAGACTCTTGTGTTAAAGTGCCAGGGAAGGGGTCTAACCATGGACAAAATATGTTTCTGTTTTGCCATAAGTTTGCTGGTTTTAAGCTGCCAAGTGTTGCATCTACCCAAATTAGAATAAACCAAGGTGATCAAGATTGGGCTTCTCGGATACCATTCGTTTGGGTTGTTGGTTATCATCAACAAGGTAAATGAGCTTGTTCACAATTCCACTCTTGTATCAGGCTGAACCTCGTCATTAGTCACCACCATTACTCCAGCATCAAACTCCAGGGGAGGGGATGGCCTGGTGGGTATTATTGCTGAACTATTAAGCCAGAGATATGGGCACTGAAGTGAGGACCTAGGTTCAAATTCCACCACGTCAGATGGTGAAATTTGTAATCAATTTTTAAGAATCTAGAACTAAGAGGATAATGATGACAGTGTTGATTGTTGGAAAAACCTATCTGATTCACGAATGCCCTTTGGGGACAGAAATTGCCATCCTTACTGGGTCTGGTCTCTACGTGACTCCAGACTGTCAGCAATGTGGTTGACACTTAACTGCCCTCTAGGCAATTAGGAACAGGCAGCAATGCCCACATCCCATGAATAAATAAAAAATCTAAAGTTACCAAAGAAATACAAGCTGAAGCCAAGTTTGCTGTGTCTTCCAGTAAGCAAGTGGCTGATTGAACAAAATGCCACCTTCATGGACTATCCCCCATATCCCTTGATTCCCAAAAATCTATCAACCCTTGTCTTGAACAAGTTCAGAGACAACCATAGAGATCTAATGATGCTCAGAGAATTCCAAAGATTGAAAACTTTTTGGGAGAAGAAATTTCACCTCATCTAGTCCCAGATTGTCGATTCCTTATCCTGAGGTCGTCCCATTTAATTTCCAGCTTAGTCAACGTGGGCAAACCGCCTTTCAGCATCTACCCTGTCAAGCCAAGTATGCTGCATCTAAACTGACTTAAAGTCCATGGGAATGAGTTGGGAACAATGTCTCAAAACAATTCTAAAGGCGAAGAGGAACATTTAATCATACTCTTGAAGTGACGTCTCTGGTGCGACTCTTTGGTGATTTTTCATCCAGTTCCAGCCCTGAATCCAAAGCAAGAACTCGAGCAGGAACCAGATGACGATGGGATCATTCTTACTTCTGTGTGTGAATGCCAATATGGCTGCTGAGTAAAGCAAGCAGTTCTCACTCCATCGAGATGTGGAAAATATGTGGGTGAGTCTTAGCGAATTACAACCTCCTTTTTAAACTGGGGAACTTCTGAGACAGCCCTTTCAATGCTGGTTCTAACCTAGGTATTTATTAAAATTTAATTGCTGGAACAAGGCTGAAATGCTAAGTTAATATGCTGCTGCTTCTTAAACAATCTGCTCCCAAACTACAAAAATCAGCTGTAGTTCACTTGATTGCAATGAATGGAAACATGAAAGAGTACAGTCCCAAATTACAGCCTGATTGTTGATTCTTTATGGCAATAATGTGACTGCATTTTCTAAACAAAGTCAAGTAATTCCACCCTTGTGTAAAAATAAGAAGTTACATCTCTCAACAACATGAAATAAACTTTTACAGTCCCAGTTTCACACTGAGTTTAACAGTGCATAAACTAAACAGAAAAATGCAATCCTTCCAACCCTACACCTGCAACATACTGAGGTATAAAAGAAAACAAAACATCAGGAGAAACTTGAATCAGACACAGGAGTCTAAATAAAAATGAAGTAGCACACTGTTAAAACGACATTTTGCAGAGGTAGTGTCAAAAGAAAAGTACAGTTTGCCATAAACATAAGAACGTTGGGAGATAGGAACTTTTCAAAATGAACAATTGGTGTTACATTGCGATGTCCCAAATGTATGCCACATGATCCTTGCTAATTCCATTACAATACGTTACTTTGATTTTATGTCACTGTAGAAAAATCCAAGATTCAAAAACTTAACTCTAAAATCTATGCAGGCTTATGTCAGGAGACATGAACGAAAGGTAATTCCTTTTATATAATAAATGGATACGATTTTCACTGACGCTCACAAAGTAACACGAAATGAAACAAACGATGGCTCTCAGGCAGTGTGCTGTGTGGACGAGACCAACAGACCAAATACGTAATACTGTGAAATCAACAGGAAGTTGTAGTTCATACACCAACCATTCAGAGCTGTAGAATGAAGCGACACCTGGACGAAGGCAGAGAGGGAAGAGAAATGTAATATTTGACAGAGCATGTGGAGCCATGTGTCAATCTCTTAGAATAAAAGGTCAATCATTTAGGACTAAGATGAAAAGCAATTTCTGTTGCATTCTCTATCCCATGTCCATGGACATCAATAACATTCGAGATGGAGACTGATATATATCCAGGTTCTAAGGAATCAGGGGAATGGGGCCGGGAAAGGAAAGTAAAGTTGATGTAAATGTTCAACCTTGATCTTACCAACAGCAGAACAGGCTTGAGGCCTGTGTGGCTTATGCCTGCCCTTAATCCTTTGTTCTTGTAGAAGAATTACTTTTAATTTTCTCCACTATTTTTCTCCTGAGGTCCTTGCTAGGGTAGATTTTCTACAGCCGCCACTCTCCAGTATTTCAACCAAGTTTTCATGCTTCGTAGACAGTGCTAGTCGATTATTTATCCATCGAGACACATCTTGCCCACGTGCATTGTCTATTTTCTCGGAGGTTGGTGGGAGGAGAATGGGGAATGCCACTTGATTCGGCTGAGAAATCCTGGCATATTTGTCACTTTTGAAGCTGCAGGGTAGGGTCCCAATACAGCATTCACTGCTGCCTTGACTAAGCTCAGCACTGAAGAGATCTAACTTTCTGAGATCTCCCTTACCTGTGCGGCTCACCTGCTCAATACCGTTACCAGCTAAGCCACTTGGGGAGCAGATCTGATCGTTGCTAAGATACAGCGGTCTTCAGTTTGTAGCAGTGGCTGAAGATTTGACTCAATGTCATCAGTGGCAAATAGGATGGTAGGAATACAAAGTTCCACTGTCCAACTTGGACACTGATCAACTTAGTGACCACAACAGCAAGTATACACCTCTGGAAAAGAAAAATAGGGAGAAACTGCTACACTCAATCCCAATCAGCCAAAGAGGGTTTTGCATGGATGTAACAGATCCCATGGTACTGTTTGAAGCAGAGCTGGGAATTTTCATCCATGCCCCAGCTAGTATTTATCCCTCAGCTAATATTGTTTAAACAAATCACCTAGTCTATCCCTGTGCAGTTTGTGGGACTTGGTACAAGTTGGCTGCTGTGTTTCCATCACCACTACTCTTTGAAAGCACATCCCAGGCTGTAATGAATGCTGAGGGAAGATCAGCAGGCAACATCGGTAATTTTTCAAAGTCCTTTAACGCAATTATAAAGCAAAGAATGCTTTTACCATCCACCATATTTGCAAATAATGGCTTTAAGACAGAAACCTCAGATCACTTTCTTTATATCATGTATATTCTTTCTAAAAGGAACACCATACAAAAAGTTGTGATTTGCGGAGATAGACATCGTCAAAAGGAATAGGAGAAGCCAGAATCCAAGCTTGGCCACATGACTTACCAAATATTATTCCTGTGTTAGAATGGCTGACAGTTTTAAATCAACAATTTCAGAATCAGGTGAACTGCTCCCACTTTGATCACTGTAGGTATCCCTGGAGAGAGCAAAGTCATAGGGCATTCATTAACTTCTAGCTTTTTTGTTTCCTTTTACACACATAAACCAATCGTCTAACCCCAACCCCGAACAGTTTATTTAGGGATTAACAGCAGGAAGCCCGAGTGTTGCCTTCCTCTGCCCAAAGCAATTGCAGCAGATCAACTGCTAACGTGGCCAAGGTCATTCTTAAAATAGCAGTAAGTGCAAAGTGGGACCTGCCTCATCTTAATGGCTTCTAAAACCTCTCCCAGTGACTCCCTGTGATCCACCTAAAACAGGGCTCCCCAATGTGCCAGTCAGGACCCTAAGTGTTTTTGTGAGCCATAGACTCTGAAACAACAAAAGGCGTTGGTGGAACTCTGAGTGAGTTAGAACAGATGCGTTATACTCTAAAGGACACAGCCTCCTCTCTCAGACCTTCTCCCTGTAACCCTGGATCCCCTTTCTAATCAAGAACCTATCTATCTCTGTCTTAAATACATTCAATGACTTGGCCTCCACAGCCCTCTGCAGCAATGAGTTCCACACATTCACCTCCCTCTGGCTGAAGAAATTCCTCCTCATTTCTGTTTTAAAGGGTTGTCCCTTCACACTGAGGCTGTGCCTTCCAGTCCTAGTCTCTCCTACTAGGGGAAACATCCTGTCCATATCCACTCTATCCAGGCCTCTCAGTATTCTGTAAGTTTCAATCAGATAGACTCCATCAAGTACAGATTGGGAGTCCTCAACCAATCCTCATATGACAGGCCTCTCATTCCCAAAATCATTCTTGTAAACCTCCCTTAGACCTCCTCTAACATCAGCACATCCTTCCTTAAATACAGGGCCCAAAACTGCTCACAATATTCCAAATGTGATCTGACCAGAGCCTTATTATAGCCTCAGCAGACTGTACATCTCTGCTCTTGTAATCTAGCAATGAAAAGCATTTATTTTATTTAAAATAAAAGTCTATTTAAATTCCAAACATTGATGAATATGAGAATTTAACATTCTCCTGCTGTTCAGCAGTCGGTCCTATTCTAAGTGGCTTGACCAAATAGGACACCGATTTGTAATGCAGGATAATCAATATTTAATATTCAGAGGTGAGGAATTATAACATGTCAAAAGCACAAATTCCTTTTCTGTTCTGAAAATGCAGCTTCTGAAGATTAGAATAATTACATTTTTTGACCAGTTAGGTACATTAAACTATGATGTAAATGGATATATATGCAATATTATTCCCAATAGACTTATAATGGGCAGGCTGCCTACTTTCAAAGAAGCAATAGTTACACACTGCTGACAGATTTGACAGTAATCCAATCCCATTTTCAGAGTATGTCAGCATGAAAATTATAGGTATATACGTGTCCAGCGCTTTTCTGCAAACTTGATATTTGATTGAACCAGCAAATAACATCCAAAATAATACACAGCTTAAACAGATGCTTAGTCATTTAATATCTGCACCATTACTTTCAGGTCAAGGTGATGAAAATTGTAGTGGATGGTGAGGACAGGGGTGAGCAGAGGGGAACTGTTGAAAATGTCAGAGAAGGGGAAAGATTGGGGGCGGGGTCGGACGAGAACGTTGAGCAGTGGGAAACGGTAAGGTTTGTTCTAAAGAAGGGTCACTGGACCCAAAACGTTAACTCTGCTTTCTCTCCACAGATGCCAGACCTGCTGAGTTTTTCCAGCAATTTCTGATTTACTTAAGGGTAAGGCTTGTGATGGGAGGAGTGTGAGAAGTGCAGAACCCACTGGCAGACATTAAGGGTTATTCCTTCACTTTTGCAGCCTTGTCAGGGTAGCCACTGTCATGGAATTCACTGCACAGAAACAGCCCATGTGCTCAATGCTAGCGTTTCCATCCTGTATCCTCCAAATCTAACAGTATGGCACCCTAATCCTTTCTACCTGCCCCCCATGTTACTCTGAATGATGTGGAGACCGATTACAGTGGCTGTACCATAAGAAAAAAGCTTTTCTTTACTAACTACAAATGGTAGAAATACACGTAAATTAAAAAAACCCTCAGTTGTGAACACTGATGGCTAAAACACTCAAATCCCTCTGCACCACAGAATTCCACAGTGCTCCTCTGTTTGAAGTAATTTGCTGGTTTTTAATTCATCCTGCCAAAGTGAACAATGTCACATTTTTCCACGTTGTGCTGTTAGTCAGTTGGTTGGCAATTCACTCAACGAACCCATCTGTATCCACCTGCAACGTCCTTACGTTACCTTCACATGTAATTCCCTCCACTGAATCAATTAGAAAAAGGGGAGAACAGACAGAAAATCTCAGGTAGTTACCTGGGCGACAGCCGGCAACCCTTTTCCAAGTAACGTTGAAGCTTTCCTGAAGCAGCCAACATCAGGCCCAAGTAAGGTGGCGACGGTTTCATTGGTCTGGAGGTGAATTCTGGATGGTACTGGACGCCAACAAAATAGGGATGCTCTGAAAAAGACAGGGGTGAGAACACTTCCGCAAGAGCTGCACTCAACTACAATTACCTCCAGCAGAACTTATTACTCGTGAAGGTCAAACAATCAACAGGCAGAACCACACTGGTCCTCCAACTAACATGCTCATTCAAAAAGTCAAAGGGGCACTAAAAATACTCCTGGTCATTCTGGGAAACAGGAACTGGTATGAAATGCAAAGCAGGAGCAGAAGGAGACCTCTCGACCCCTCAAGGCTGTTCCACCAACCAATATGATCATGGCTCATCTCTTGGGTGATTTGAAGTCCACATTCCTGACTACTCCTTTCGATTCCTTTGCCCAACAAGATTCTATCAAATGGTCTGAAAAATACTTAATGACTCTGCCTCCACCTCTGACTACTTTTACAACGCCTGCCTGTCTAGGTACTGCTGACTGCCTGATGTGGGGTCCACCTCTCACCAACTCCTCTCTGTGCTCTCTATGAAGCTGACATTAACCTATAAACCACTGATGGGTCGTAGGCTACACACAGCATAAAGAACCCACACCGCATCCCAGGATGTGCAGGCTAGGTAGCCATGGTAAATGCAGGGTAGGGGGCTGGAACTGGGTGGGATGCGCTTCAAAGGGTCAGTGCTGACGCGATGGGCCAAATGGCCTGCTTCCACACTGCAGGGATTCTATGATTCACTGACCTAACAGCAGAGTAAAAATGTGGGGGACGCTCAAGTGATTCCAAATAGGGCATGGACAATTCAGCTGCCACTTGTTCTGCTGGTGGAGTTTGAGGAATGCGCATTTGTGGTCATAGTCTGTGGAACACATCAACAAGAACCTGCCACTCAGATCTGCGGCCTCATTTCTCCGGTCAGTAACTGAGGAGGCTACCGATAGGATTGTCAATCTAGAAATTGTATTACGAGCTTTTCTCACCATAGAAACAGTGGAAGCACTCAGATAAAAAACTGGATCAAAAAATTGTTACAGATTATCAGAAGACACTCTGCCAAGATGCTAACAATATTTTGATCACAATAAAAACTACAGCCAGCACTCCATAATTCTTAACATCATAAGGTAATGTGCAAAATTACAGACTGGAGGAGGGGCTGTGGCACAGGGGTAACGTCACTAGGCTAATAAGACTAAGCTCCATGGGGGCATGGATTCAAATCTGACCACGGTAGATAGTTAAATGTGAATTCAACTTTTAAAACAATGGAATTAGAAGTTTGTTGGCCATGTAACCATTGTTGTAAGTAGCCAGCAGGTTTCACTGAGGCAGGGAAATCTGCCTATATGTAACTCCATACCAACAACAAAGTGGTTGACCCATAACAGCAGCAGTGAAGGTCAGGCGATAAATGCTGGTCCAACCGGTGTTGCCCACATCCCATGAATGAATAAAAAGAAAGACTCAAAAGTGGTGTCCAAAACTAAGCAGCATTATTTTTAACTTTACAGAACTTTACTCCAAAATATTCCAGCAGTCAATGTGTCAGGCTTGCGTATTTAAGCAGCCTGTAAATTTATTTAAAATTTTAAATACACAAGTAGGTAATTAGCCACAGTTCATGAGGGCCCTTCACCATGTCACTCTATTAGACAGGAGGGCATAGTTGTCTATATAGATTGCTGTATCCAGTTTGAGGGGAAACACTCTGCACTGGAACTGGATTCTCACTGTGTTATCCTGAAACACACACTAGCCATTCAACGAATGGAGTTAATCATCCCGCTAACGTGTAAATATGATAATGCATTCTCCAAAATGTTTGTTCAAATAGTAAACTTTAAAATAAAACGAGCTGTGAGATTCAGAGTATTTTCTAAAGAGTAACTTGTGTTATATCTCATTCTCTATGACTGCGACATCTCCTCACTCACCGTCTAGTTCGATTATTTCCATTCGTTCTCCCTCCACATCCTGGCCAACGAAACGAAATCCCTTTTCTTCAAAGTTATTTCTCATTGCTGGATTTACCTGAAATACAACAGGTTTGGAGCATTTTTTGTTCTATGCTTCAAGATGGAACTTTTGGGTGGATTGGGTAAGAGGCTTTTGGCATCAAAGAATCCAACGCAACTTCTTAAAAGAAGGACCAATTAGAAAAGCGCAGCAATATAGACTTAAAAACTAAGAAAACGTGATGGGGAAAAACTCAATGTTCTTCACAGGCTTGACAGAATATTTTTACAATGAAAAACTACACAGTTTGTGGATTCATTTTCCCAGACAAAGAGCGCAGAAAGCGTGTGTGTGTGTGTGTGTGTGTGTGTGTGTGTGTATGTATGTGCGTGTGTGTGTGCGCGTGCGTGTGGGGGAGGGGGGTGTGGGAAATATAACAGTTTGTACCTCGTATCGATGCCTGTGACGTTCTTCAATGTAGTCACAATCCTTATACAACCTCCCTGAAGGAAGCACAGAAAAGACAGTTAAAACTTTTTTAAAAATAATGACACTAGTACAAACACAGACCACAATCAGTGAGGATAGACACCTGTACCTCCTCCTCGATAATCCTCAACACTGTCGCCCCACCCCCAACAAGGATGTGTACTCAGCCCCCTTACTGTACTCCCTGTACACCCACGACTACGCAGCCAAACTCCATATGAATGTCATCTACAAGCTTGCTGATGTCATCACCATGGTAGGATGGATAACAAACAACTATGAGCCAGAATACAGATAGGAAACAGAGGGCTTGGTGTTACAATGATAACAATCTCTCTCTCAATGCCAGCAAAACAAAAAAGAGCTGATCATTGACTTTAGAAAGAAAGGAGGAGGATATGCCACTATCTACAACAATGGAGCTGAGATGGAAAGGGTCGAGAGTATCAAGTTCTCAGGAGTGACGATAACCGACAATCTGTCCTGGACCTCCCATGTAGATGTGATGGTCAAGAAGACACACCAACACCTCTTCTTCATCAGGCAGCTTAAGCAACTCGGCATGTCTATAAAGGACCCTCACCAACTTTTATAGATGCACCAGA